CTGCTGTGATTTTGTTGCAGCCCAAAACCAGTAGCATCTCACTATCCCCAAATCTCGCTCTCCCGAAGAAAGTCAAAATTCAAATCAAGTTCAATCCCCTCTCTACACACAGGTACCATACAGGCACCCCTCCCCGATATCCCCATGTAAAAAGGGCTCCCAGAAAGGGTTTGACCTACATAGAAATGGAGGTTTTACCTCAAGGAAAACCATATTATGATTTTGCAATGATCAAGAGCATGAAAATACACCAAAATATTTTGTTTACTGATGGCTTTGCTTTGGGTCACTATCTCCTATCAGTTGGCATCTCTCAGGAAATAATGTTCTTAATATGTCCTAGAACTTGAACATAACATTTTCTGGAGTCTAAGCCTGATCCAAAGACCATTCAAATCCACGGAAAATCTGCATGGTCTAAGCTCAGGTCCTTTCAGACATAAGGCCAAGAAAAACAGAGCAGCACGAATTTCTTGGAGTAGATTAAAATCTCTGCTCATGTCCAATAGTCTCTCCCCACATCACATCCAATTACAGATCATCACGCAACGCCACACCGAGACAGCCGCTGACTAGCTGGCAATTATTGGCTCTTTCATGCTGAAAACCTATTTCTCCCAGGGGAATGAGACATCTGCATAATTAGCAAAAGCAGTTACACAAAAAATAATTAGCTTGCTGAAAGCCTGAAGGGGGGAAAACTATAATTTTTGCTTCAAGAGGCTGGCTAATTATATGCCAAGTAACAAAACAGACAGACTAGAAATTATTGCGAAATCTAACATGGATTTTAACTCCATACTCTAGCTATAAGGCCTGCTGGTAGCCAAGCAACAAGCAGCGTGCTTCAGCACAGCAAGGCCTCCCGCCATCTTAACGAAACCCCTCCAACTACCACGCAAGCCTCCCCCACCCCACGACTCTGGCTTGACTCTTGTACTAAACGACAAAAACGAGATGCCCATACACAAAAGTAATCGTGCATTTCAAGATAAACTCAGAAGGAGGGCTAACGGATCACAGTCTAGGAAAATAAGTATATATAAAGAATATATGGAGTCATTTTCAAAGTCTTATAAAATTCACAAGCTGAGTACAGTTGATTTATTGTATTTATACACGGGATCAGAATATGCCCTATTATTTTAAACGCCGTTACTAGTAGACTGAATAGATCTTCCCTCATTTACTGTCTCTTCAGAAGTTTTAGCTGTTTAAGAGAAATCTTTAATGACTTGCAGCATACTTGCTAACCTCCACATTTCTCTACATACAAAATCGCTGCTGCAGCTGCTTTCTTTTACGTGAATCTTCAACGACCTGCAAGAGAAGTTATCCCAAAACAGTAGCCTCAGAGCCAAAAGATCAATTTTAGTCATAGTTCTACTTTGACCAATTTTATTTATTTAGGCAAATTTCACTCTCTCAGAAACAGTTGTTGTTTTTCCTGCCTGCCCAGTACTGCTATAGGCTACAATAAGTCAGGTCAGACAACTATTTTCAAATCCTAGCACACTCCACTGCTCTGGGGTGGCCAGGGCTCAGTTACAAGCAGTATTTTCAGCCAACGGCTTGCTCACAGTTACCCATCTGAGAAGCAGAGAATCCAAGTATTCAGCCACCTGAAAACCGCATACAGTAGTAGATCAAGTTAGGCTTCATCTCTGCTGGGAAGTCATGATACAACTTCAGTTGATCTTGCCATTTAAAGCCATGCTTTAACCCAGAACAACAGAAAGCCCTTACTCCAGGAGTGAACTCTGCAGAAAGAGGTTCGTCTCCAGCCGGAGCTGTTCTGCAGTCGGGACACTGCCGATAGCACTAGCGCTTTTCCCACCCAATGCAGGGAGCAGTTCAGGGCAGAAAACCCAGGCAGAGCGAGCCGACACCGCTTCTTTTGCGGTGCTGTTTTACCCCGACAAGCACTTACAGAACTGCAGCCCCCACAAAGATTTGTTAGTCTGTCTCCCCAGATCTCCAAGGCGCTAATGCGGCCAGCGCAGAGCTAGAAGGAGTACAAGCTAGGTACGCACGGAGGCTAACGTGAGCTTGTAAGATGTGGTACGACTCTACTGCGTTGCCCAGTTGAATCTGATCCAGGGCAGGCCAGATAACGATGTTTAAAGAGCTAGTAGCTAGTCTACATTTACACATTTGCCACTGCCACAGGCAAAGCCTGGTGGAGTTGCAAACTAAAAGCAGTGGTATTAATGATAAGATAGAGATCTGGGTAATCAATACTGTACTCTGCCAGACTTAAAGGATTAACAAGACTAAGACAGCTGCTTCCCGAAAAAGGCTAAGGTTTTGGATGTGCAATATTTATCTTCCCTAGTGACTCTGACAGCTGCTGAAAACGTCACCTTTGTTCAAAAGCTGCAGGAGACATAAGGGACACGAGAAGACCTACAGAAGCTTGCCTTGTCTTTAGGTCACGATAAGACACGTGACCACAAGTGAAGGCAAGTCTCATCCCATGGCTAATGCAATCTCAAAAGAGATGAACTGGAAGTCGCACAGAGCTATTCACACACTAGATGAGGGGAGCAAATATGCTGTGTGTGGGCTCTGGGTGGAGGGTGAGGAAGAAGGAATGAACTTGCCTACAATACCACGGGAAACTGAACCCCTCCCTCAGACACACAAGAGATTAGTAACTAGTGTTCTCACTATTAGCTTCACAAATAGTAACTGCTTTAAAATTAACTCATCCAACTATCAACTGTTAACAATTTTTCTTGGGGGAAGATGGAAAGTATTCCAGTAGATCAAAGGGAAAGCCTATCCTCGCTGTAGCTCACTGAGTCCGCAACACTCCTCCACTTGCCCCAACTCTTTCTTCCAGACTGCTTTTTGGTTGATCTCAGGGCCCACTCAGGAGCCTCAGGAGAGGAGAAATGCTACCACACGCACACACCCTAAGGATTGCATCCAGCCATAGGGCAACCAAGGACTGTAGGAGATAAAACACTAAGCACATTGAGTTAAACGGAGTGAGGAAGACAAAGTATTTGTGTCTGGAAGCTCAACAAGAGTGGAGATGAAAGATGTGAGAGAGGGTGTGTAAGGTTTCAGGCACTGTACGTGCAAGGGAGTTAAGTCTTCAAATTCATCATCAAAATGGCGGCAGGGAAAGGGGTGTTAAAAATTTGCAATGAAGCCTAAAACTAGTCTATCTAGGATATATGGATGCTTTGCTTTCACTTTAACAAAGTAATGTTCCTATAAAGTCCTTCTTTCACTGAATCTTAAAATAGATGCCCATTTCCTTGGAAAGACAGAAGGCATTCTGAAGGAGCTGCCTGCCCAGAAGAGGTCATCTCTATTGTCCCATCTAGCTTCTTTTTGCTGCCTTTGATACCCTGATACCTTTGATTGCCTACAGCCATGAATCACATTAGAGCTAGGATGTTAAGTTGTCCTAGAAACCATAAGAACCTCACAGAAAAGTCAAGGATTAGCAGGTAATATAACGGTGCTAGTGCTTATCTGGATCCTACACATGCTAAAATGATTGCATAGCTAAAACTTGCATTGCAATTCTAAACCAAATGCTACTTTCCCACTCTTCATTTAATTTTATTCTTTTAGTTTTCTTATTTCTTTCATACTAAGTACTCTTCTAATCAGTTGCAACATACCTGATTTTCTAAGATACCTTAATTTGTTTCAGAAAATCCCTCTAAGCGCTTAGCTTAAATTTAACTCCAAATGCTTACTAGACATTTTGGACCTTAAACTCCAAAATCTCTCTCCCCCCTCCCAGAGAAGAAACCCAAGAGAAATCTCACCCACACTCATCATTCCACCACATCATTTGTTTAAAATGACAACGTAGCAACACATCTCACCCAAGGCACAAGTCAGCCTCAAACTCCAGACGACAGCATCCAACTTGGTACAATCATGCACACTTCATTTTTTTTTTTAAACTTATAAACCTTAAAACACTCGCTAATGGAGTAAATATTTACTTCCTACTTTAAAAAAAAAAATATATATATATATAGGCATTTGTTTCTCAGCTGCATTTTTTGCCATTGTAAGCTTCATCTATTTACAAGGCCAGTATTTTCCCAGATTATGTAAAAGCTTGGCATTTTAACCTCATTACACCACACAGGCACCTGAACTAAATCCTTGTCATTCCCAGACACACAAGAGAGTATCAGATCATATTTTGGGTTATTCCACAATGTAAGACTTTTCAGAGAAGTCCAGCAGCATTCTGCCTAAAAGCAACGCACAGCATTGAACTGATGTGCTTATCTCTGGTCTACCCCACAACTAGTAGAAAGAAATTCCCTCCTTTGAATTGAAAACTCTCTCAAAAATGTTTCTAAAAGTGAGCAATACATATAAAATACTTTCTAGTTCATAAACTTATTGCTTTTCTTAGGGATAATAAAAATTTGTTTTTAAATAAGCAAAATATTAGCCTCACAAGAAAAACAGAATAAAGATTCTAATTAATTCTTAGTATCAGCTATAAATATATGAAGCTCACAAACTTAGATGCTGCCAAACATAATCTCTAAACTGTATGAACTTTAAAACGAAATGCTATTTCATTTCTATACTGCAATAGCACTAGTGTGCTAGCATAAAACAATTGCATTAATATGTACGTTTCCTGTGCTGTGAAGGGCGTTAAATTGAAAAAGTTTAAGCTACTATTGAATTTACCTTATGAAAAGTTAAAACAGAAGCTGTACTTCCCTAATGAAACTCATAAGGGAAATAGCTTTAATAATATCCTAGTGTTCTTGAAACATGTCCTTCATTCGCCTTCTGATACTACTTAGGTAGTTAAAAAGACTAAACAGATATCATTTTCTGCAAAAATTATGTGTACGTTTCTGAGTAATCTTCCCTACTTCCCAAACAAAAAGCTTGTTCTGCTGCCATTTGAATGCATCACCAACACAAAAATTAAAAAAAAAAAAAAAAACCCACAACAACACACCACACCATGAGAGAATACAAGCATTTCTACTCACCACTTGAGCTCTGGATCATGTTTCCAGATTTTTGGACTTCGTCGAATTTTGTAAAAATTACATTCAACCTGTTTGAAAGTTAAAGATAAAAATACACAATGAATACTTGAATTTGATTTTTAGGACCCTTTTAATTTAGGATATTACAGGATGAATTTTGCTTCAGTCAAGTCACTGGGAGCTTTGCCAACAATGCCAATGAGGATGGAAGTTATTTTATGTGTAACAATAAAAAATTAGAATATCCAATGGCTTAAAAGAAAAAGGATAAACTGAAAGACAGTAGTGACATCTTAGAGATATGATTTGGAACAGTACATTGCTGAACGTGACACGTCTCATTGTAAACTCACTTCCAGTTCATTACTGTTTTGCTTATCTCTTAGCTTTTTGTAAAAACAGAATAGGGGGGGAACAAGCTTTATATGAATTCTTGTTTTGCCCTGACATTTTCCATTCATGTCACAGGTCTGCTGGACAGGAAGATCTTTATTACATCTCATTATTCCTTTCCAGAGAGTTTATTAGTCTAGGCCACATTGTAGCAGACATTTCCACTGGAAAACAAGAGGCAGTAGTATTGCTCCTCTATGCACTCCACCCCTTTGAAACAGTATTTGCACATTCCCTCCTCCCACTGTGCCATGGCACATTGCCATCTAGTCCTTCCTCAGGTCTAACAGTGTTGGAGACCGCAGCCAGGCACAGAGCAACTTTCTCACTTCTCCTGAAACACGCACTGCATACGCGCCCAGACTAGATGCTTAAAAGCAAAGCACCAAGCACTTCAGAGCAGCAGCACAGATGGCCCATGCTACAGGTGGGGAAATGGAGATGGCCAATCCGGCCATGCCTGTGGGACAGCTCACAGATGAGGCTGAAAACACATGGTGGCAATGCTGAAACTCCTCCTCTACCAGGTGCGAGATCCTCTCTCTCTCAGCATTAGTCCCATCCGCCATGCCCCTCAGGACTAACTCCCACCAACCTCACACATGCAACAGCTCTGCCCCAGGACTGCACTGGGCAGAGGAAGGAGAAGAAAGGAGAAGTCAAACTTGACTCTCAATTGCCCTCCTTTCCCATTAAAGCATTGAGGCTGTACAGGTAGCACAGCCCCAACTCTGGAAGGAGAGAATCAGGCAGCAGGATCAGGTAGCATGCAGCAGGGTAAGGCACAAGTTTTCCATAACCGCAGCAGAATTTCATTGCTGATATCACATACATCCACTGACATGGCAGCAGCACTGGTAGACTGACCACTGCTAGCAGACAGGAAAAGGTGACTACCACACCCACAGCCCAGTTAGACCCTGAAAAGCTCCTGCTGCTCTCGGTGCCCTTCAGGCAAGTTCCAGAGCTACAAACTAGCCCTCACAGATGTAAGGCCAGATGATCCTGACCCAATCTTCCCCAGGGGCCAGTAGGAGACAGGACTACTCCTCTACTTGCTGCGGGCAGCTGAACTTGAATATTGTGCTCACCTTCACAGCCCTGTCGTACTGCTGTTCTTTTTGAGCTCTCCTGTGATCTCCTCTGTACCCTCCCGGACTGCCCTAGAGATCCATAGACCTAGCCCTTCTCAGCTGGGCCCCAAACTTGTGAGCGCAGAGCACCTTAACAGGGCAGTACCCTTGACCAAGCTTCCAAAGAGCTCAGTAGCCGTACCTGAGACTAAATTTTAAGAGCGTTCAGGATTCTCTTTCCGGGTTCCTCAGAGTCTCTCAGCCAGAGACATTGGGGGAACACACACATAGCCCTTGCACACAACCTGTTGCATCTGAACAGAGGAGATTTCAACAGAAGCAGCATTAGCTTAGAGTCTGTAAGAGCTTCTGGGCTGTACATGCGCCTGCCCTTACTGTAAAATACTGACATATGATGTTTCAGTAGCCAAACTCCTTAAGCCCAATTCCTGAGCAATACCTGAAGTATGAAACTAATATAATGAGCTGCAGACTGAATAAAGACTGCTTATGGCTGTCTCATATCAGGTCTCAACTAGGCACAGGTGTAAGAAGTAAAAAATAAAAATAAAAAAAATCCCCCACCTCGCATCTTTTCTTTGAGAACGTGAACTCTAGGACCACGCACCCTCTGCCTAACACCTTCGTCCAAGACAACGACAAGCATTAGCCCAGACATCGCTATCGTGATTTGGCAGCAGAAGCAGAGGGACAGACTTTTAATCCTTGGAACTGGCAATACAGGCTGTAGGTTCCCCCCCCACAATGTCATCCTTCTAGGTTGCATACAGACAGGGTACTCTGAAAAGACCTCTCTACGCATACAGAACACAAAGCACCGCATAACTCTTCACCATCTGAGTTCACTAGACTACTGTAATAATTTTACTGGCTTTCCAAATACAGGGGCCCCAACTTTGAAATACTTACAGGTAAAGGATCACATTAAACGAAACCTGAGTAAGCGTTTGTAGGATGAAAAAATCCTAACCCAAGGAAAAGTTTCAATCACGCAGCTCCTGAAACCTGCTAAAGCAAGGAAGAGCACAGAGAAACCCAAACACAGTTAGAACATAAGGATGTTCTCAACTTACCGAGACTGGGGCAGTCCTTTTTTACTGAGATCAGCCCTTACACGTTCACCAACATGTCTGTAAATTTCCACAAGGCTGTTTATTGCTGCATCTCGAACCTGAATGAGACATGAGAGAAGTCATCTTCCTAATTTAAATAAATATATCCCTGCTTTTCCTAGGAGAAAATTTGCATATTTCTCAGCAACAACAATTGCCTCTATATACGTGTGATCACAGTGCTCATGAAGTAGTTTCCACCTCTAAGTTTCAGATGTTGACAGTATCATTAGGCCTATTTTTATCGAAAAGGCAGACAAGATGCAAGAAGCTGAAAGATTTGCCCAGACACCCATAGGGAATTAGGCTGCCTTTGCCAAATTCCACTTACTGTCTGCAACAAGAAAGTTTTCTGAATCAAAAAAAAAAAAAAACATGGCGAAAGACAAAAACAGACATTATATTACCAGCAGGTTATGAAACAAATGGATTTTTTTTAAACACAGTCTCAAACTTATTTTTTCTGTGTTGACAACAAAATACAGAGGGAGGGCGAAGTAATCAGTCACCTGCACGACTGTCACAAAAGCTGAGGAAGGCTCAATACTCGATTCTCCTATAAGAAACAGGCATTTCCTAGCCAAAACCTCTCCAAACTACTGCTGTAGCAAAGTTGCTTCCCGATCTCAGAGACTGACTTGGATGACATTACCCAGCATAGGAAAAACATTTATATAGAAATAAATGGGACAGAAGGATAAAGATATGTATACCTAATCCTTTGTAGGCTCGCTCCAAGTCAACAAGAGCTTTGCAGCAGTGTCATGCAGCTACAGTTAGCACGCCCCAGCCCCTAGCTGAACACTTCTACTGAGCAGGAAAAGCCCAGGTAGAAGGAAGACCAGCAGAGAAAGCAAAAGACTACATAAGCCAAGCACTGAAACCTCCCAAATCTCTAGCCAATCCTTAGCCATTTTTAGCTTATCTTAAAATCAACTTTACATTAATACAGCAGCAAAACAGTTTCACCAATAAATTAACTGCTGCTTGCTCGGTTTTTAGATGTCCTATGTTTTTACTCCAATCCAAGGAGTCTTATGAACACCAGGAAAGGCTCTATGAGCAATTATTTGGCTTGGATTCTTAGTCGAATAATTTTGCATGTTTAAACTGTTTTGCAAGACACTGGCTGCCGAGCACATCCTTCCCCTCCAGCTCTCAGCAGAAGGGCCACAAATCTGAATAAAGTTTAAGTCACCTTTCTGCACTTAAAAACAACTCTTTCCTCTATCAGACGCAGCGGGCAGAAGGTAAACTATCTCCTCTGCCTACAAGGCAGCCTACAAAGCCATACACTTCTGCCTGCTTCTGACATTAACTTTCCCTTCTGCACACACCTGCACAGAAAAGGTTCCCAAAGCAGAGGCTGGTGGATGACTGCACTGAAACAACTGCTGCAGAAGCAGAGCTGCAAAGGGAACGAGAACCAACACGGGAGCACAGCACCTCTCTGCAGACAGCCCAGCAGCTACCCCAGTGCCTGCACACACCAGGACCAGATGCAAGATATTCTGTGGATGCAAGCTAAAATCCCCTACAGGTTGAAGTCAAAAGACAGGCGCCCACACTACTTCCTAGGAAAACATGACTAACCCTTGACTCACCCTTGTCTTGTTTTTTGTTTATTTTTTCTTAAGTTTTAATCCTAACAGCAGGGCTAATATGAGGCAGGGCTCCTGGGCACAACCCAGGACAGACTCTTCAGCATCCCCAGTTCTCAGGTACACAGACCCTTACCCAGCCTTGCTCCCTGCTTCCAAGGGCAAGGGAGGAGAGGTTGCTCAGGACAGTGATGTGTGAGATCAGCTGTGGAGGAGCCTCTTGTTCACATCTGCTCAGGACAGCAGAGGAAGAGGTAGATCGCTAATACGAGCATGCAAACAGTGCATGCTTCAAACCAGGACAGAATCCCAGCACAATGATAAACATAGGATGTTAGCCTAGCGTCCTAGTTAAGGAACACAGCAAGCGCTAACTCATTGACACGGGCTCTTAGAGCAAGATCAGAAGTAAAGACCAATCCTCCCAAAGAGGTCTTCAATGGATCATCGCTGAAGTAAGGGAGAACAAGGCATTACAGTTGGGAACAGAAGCTAGATGAAAAGATGTTTTAAACACTAAGGCTATTTATATGAAACACAGAGCGTCCCTTCAAGCAGCTGCCCTGCCTCAGGGCTACAGAGCCTGCTACAAGGAGGGCAAGGACACGGAGAGCTCTGTCTTCCCTGTGCGGGTCCACCACATCGCCTTTCCCCGGCAGGGCGAGGAGACAGACGTGACAGAGCAGGAATTCAGATCTGCCAAGTCTCACGCGCCCAGCGTGAGATTTCTTCAGTCAGCTTCTGTCTTGCACTCCCCCTCCGCAGTGCCTGCATCTCACACGTCTGCAGGGAATCAGCCTGCCCCAGGGCCACAGCCCACATGCCAGGCGCAGCCAGGGAGCTCTCTCTTGTGGGCCCCACGCTGAGCAGCTCTGCTAGAGGACACGTGCCCAGCCTCCCACCATGCCCCAGCCCCCATCCATGGCAGTGACGGCCTTTCACGCAGCCCCACACTCACATGACTCCCTTCCACACGCAAGCAATAGCCACTGTAGGTCCTTGTGCCGCTCTGAAGGGTTGCACGAGGGCACAAAGTTAATCAGAGGTGTGTTTGCAGGACTGGGTAAACACCATACCAGACACGGCAGTAAGCCCCTGCCATCATACTTCTTTCATCTTTCATAGCAATAACAAAGCTGTCACGTTCATAGTTCTATTTTTCAGAAAATACTGCAAGAGTAAATACACTTTCACACCAAGATAATCCCTGCGTTATACAAGCTCTCAGAAGCTGCATTAGCTAAAAACAAAAAATCCCCTCACCCAAAATCTTTCTGAAAAGGGCAGTAACAAAATAGCTTCCACTTCTCAAAACAGAAAGAATACTGTACTTGACATGGATCTCTGCTTCTCCATCTTATTTCACCAAGAGGGGGCAGCATTGACCAAGCCTCAGCAGTTCAGGTCTCCTGGAGCTGAGGAAAAGGCACTAGGCAGCTGGCGGGCACTAGGCAGCTGGCGGGCACTAGGCAGCTGGCGGGCACTAGGCAGCTTCCCAGAGCCAAGCCCTGTTAAACCAGGAGCCCACTTTGACAGTGATTTGCGTCTGATCAGTTTGCGCTTGGGCTTTCTGGAGAGGAAGCAGAGCAGCGCACACAGGAGAGTGGACAGAGTAGCCTGTCCTCCAGGCACACAAGACAGACAGTGGAGCAGGATAACGTGTCCCACAGCTCCCTCACCAACTTCCTAGTTGTTTTAACAGCTCACCACAATAGCAAGGCTGATGTGTCTCTGCCTGTAAAATAAGAGTCCTGAGGTCCACTCAGAGAGTACCTGCTTGCTCAGCTGTAGCTCAGAACCAGAAGGACTCTGAACATTAAACTTCCTTAAAAGCCTCTTGGGTAACCAGTTTATTCTCCCGTGCTGACACAACCAGCAAGGAAACACTGCTTCACGCACAGTCCTCCTCTTTAGCAAGGGGAGACCCTGACAGTCATGGAAATACAGCCAAATGCAGAAACGAAGGAAACCCATTTCCCAGTTGGCCACTCATCCCACGCTTCCCATCAGCCAAAAAGCTACTATAGACTTGGATTTCATCCATGTGCATCCATTCTGGGAGGAGGAAGAGGGATACTCAAAAGCCAACAGGCATTAATCTAAGCCTTGGTCCCCCACCTCCTTTCTTCTCACCATCCTCACTTACTCACATCCAATTTCAGATTAGATTACAAACTCTCCACAGCAAGAAATCTCCTCCTTGCAGCAAAACAGCACTTAGAACAACTGGGTCTGCCCCAGCTTAGTATATTATCGCTATAATAGAGCTGGGAGAGAACAAGATATGAAGAACTGACTCTTCTATGGCAGGAGGGAAAGTACATGGAAGTGACATCTCTCCTTCAGCAGCTGTTTTTTACTTGGCTTACACTGCTGGTTTAAGGCTCCTATACAGCTTGCCTTCCCCCCACCCCTCATTCCAAATCTACTCATACAACTTTTGGCAGTACAGGGCCAGGCTGTCAAACTGGTCCTGGTCTCATCTGCCCTCCCCACCCTGACTAGCTCTCACCCAATGGTGCCGGGTGCTGCACTGAGCCTAGAGGGATCCCTGCAGCTTCCCTTGCACTGAGGCAGCTGGTGTTAGTGCAAGTTCCCTTTCCACTAAGGTTTTCTTCTACAGATCTGCAGATTGAGGGTGCTCTGCTGAACTCCTGGGAGCAATTCACATGCTGTTTTAGGCATACCTCAAATCATTTCTTTTTCAAAAACAGAATCTTTTAAAATCCCCTAGTAGGAGCACAGTTCACTAATTTACCAATCAAAACTCAGAGCCCTGTTTACTGACAGAGGTAGTGATCAGCACAGCTTTTAGGAAGTGACTCACACCAAAAAGCTTACCTGGCTGTTCGGATCTCCAAGTAAGTTACATATATGTGGCACTATCTTACTCAGTGTTAAACTCTGAGCTCCAGATCTGGGAATAAAGACCAAAAGTGCAATGTGAATTAATAGAGCGTGCTTGTGTATAAAAAAAAACTAAATGTGCAATAGTTCTGACTTACGCATTGAGTGTTGCAATAAGGCAGAGGCAAATCCCTTCTCTTGTCCGGAAATTCTTGTGTTTGAATCCTCCTAGCATTCTATCCCACACGTACTGTGGAAGACAAAAGAAGGTAAGACAGCAGAAAAGGAGGCAGGGGAAAAGGGAAAGGGATTCTTTCTCTAGCAGAAGTACACCAACATATCTAGAGTTTAAATGTAAGCTTTGCATCCATTCAAGCAGAACAAAACAATAAGTGGGAAGACATTTTTAGATACAACCAATTTTCTGCCCTTTGATGACTTCATAGTAACTTGTCACTAGCTAAAGTAATATTGTTTTAGCTAGAGAAAGCACATGACTTCCAGCACCCAAAACAACTGCTGTGACATCCATCTGCCCATCCCCCCGGGAAACCCAACTAACATGCAAACTCCCGTGCATATCCTGCCAACCCAGACACATGCAACAGCATTCTCAAATAAGGTGAATTCTCAGAACAAAGGTGTAGGAGGAGGAGTGTTTCAGCCAGAGACATGGGAGAAAACCCTCTGTCTAATAAAACGTGAGGAAGGACTGTTAACTTCCACACAGGGCCAGTTAAACACTCATCCCAAAGACCTAACCACAACAGATGCGCCACATTCAGTTGAAGAGGGCAGCAAGTTAACTCCACCACCTGCGCTGGAGTCCAAGTCAGAACGTTAACACAAGCCAACAGGAGCTCCCTGAAACTGAGGTGACAAGTTGTACCGCAGGGTGCCTTCGGGAGCTTATGCTGTGGACATGGGAGACAGTCAGCCAGCTGTCTCCCATCAGTTAGAGAAAAGAGGACTACCAGAGGATCAAAAAGAGAGGTTCTGAAACAGCTGCTTTTTAAATGGTCAGTCTCTCCTACGCAGCCACACTGCAAAGGCTTGTCAAGCATACCTGAGGATTAGCAGCTTGTTCCATAATTTTCAGCAGCAAGGTCTGATCCTGCTCCCGCACTAAGTCTTTAGAGTCTCCCAGCCTATCAAGTAAACTCGGCAGCACTGAGGAAACAAAACAGGAACGTTCATGACACTCAGAAGAAAACCATCACAGTTGCAGTCCCTCTGCTCTCCCTTGACCCAACAACAAAGTGGGCTCCCCTGCTCCCCGCAGGCAACACAACCTGCACAAGGTTGCATAGGCACAACCTGGGTGAGCCAAGCACCCTCAGCTCCCAGTAACATCAACCAGAGCACACAACAACTCAAAGGAGAGCATCATGGGAGGCTCTGCATGACATTACAAGCACGGGAAATATTTTCCAGAGAAAACGTGCTGTAAGAATTGGGATTCTCCCTATGGTATAGCTCAGCAGGGACAAGCAGCAGAGCGTCCAGGCTCTGGAGCTGGAGAGCACTAGCACCTTCAGGAAAGAAAGCATGGGAAGCCCTTGTCCTTCCTCCTAAACCCTGCGTACAGTTGGCATCCAAAAAGCATGCAGGACTGAAACCACAACTGGCTCGCGCTTGTGGGAGTGGCTGTGCAAATTCTTCAACCCAGATCTGTGCTGAGCCCAACCACATCCCCTCCTATGCAAGGGGCTACAGTTGGAGAGCTATGCAGCCAGCTTCCGATTGCCTGATAGGGTTTTGGGGCAGCCCCAGCTCCGAGACTGAAGCATCCTTAGAGCTGGAAAACAGAAGACAGCACACAGGCTAGTTACCTACGGCAGTAGCTCAGAGGCTAGTCTGCCATTTTTATTCATACCGCGGGGTAACAGTAAAAGGGCCTTCAGCAGTGCGTGACATCACTAAAGTGCCTTGTGAGCGCTCTCAAGGCGGGGAGGGAGCGAGAGAAGGCTTCATGTGCAAGGTTAAAAAAATATTTTTTAGGGTAACGGATTGTATTCCTGAGTTGTTTTTTTTCTTTTTAGTTCAACCATTTAGCCTCTTTTCAAACCGAGTTTGCACAGGTGATCTACAGAAAAATAGAAACACATCCTCATATTTGCATCTGATTCAATATACCAAATGACACTTGCTGCCAACCAAATACCAGCCTCAGATTACTCATCTGATGGCTTCTCCTCCCATTTTTGAAGGCAGCAACACAGCATGGGGGGGAGAAGGAACAGGCGGTGGCCAGAGCACAGCCTGACAGCTCGTGCAACAGCAACGCTACCCGCCTTGCACCTCACCTGTGCCAATCTGTGCCTTGAAGCGATCTTGCAAGCGTGACACCAGTGCAGAAAGGATGTCCATGCCCAGGAGAACCACCTGCAAACACATAGCAGATAGCTGTTTAGCACAGAGCCCTTCACCGGGGCCTTGGGGAACATGTTGCAAAGGGTTTGGGAGGTGGGGGAGGGGGGGTGTCACATGCTGCCCCCCGAAAGACCCCTGCGGTGCATGGGGAGGGCAGTCCATGACCTGCACTCCACGCGGTATCGAATCGCTTCAGATCTGCGCTCACACAGATAAGGGGACCACGTGAGATATGCAGCTCCCCCCCCTGCACTGCTCCCAAGACACAGGCAGGGTGCTTCTCAAAACACAAAGCCCCCAAGCAGTTACCACTGCCCATGACATTGCCAACCCCAAACTCAGGGCCAAGAGCCTGGCTGCACCAACAGCTATATAATTGCAGTACAACGCTAAGTTCACACAAACACATGCGTGCAACGTACACATACCATATGCATAACAATTTCAGTATTTGCTATAAAGTTTCTAACTTATTATTTACACTAAGTTATAATTAGAAAGTGATGTGCACTAACAGCTGCCTCATTATTGACCTGCAGAAATTATTTAAAAACTAACAAGTTTGTGCCATAACTAAGACCCAGGGGAAAACAATTTGTTCAGGAGAAGCTCCACATTAGATCATGTACCATAAAACCCACTCTGATCAGCCGTTTTTGTTTTTTTTTTTTTAAAAAAAAAAGAACAGTAAAAAAAACCCATACCATACGCTAACACAGAAAGGAAAAATTCCCGTAGAGCAACGCTTCCCATAAACTCTTCACTCGAGTGAAGAGTTAAGAATTGCTTAAAGCATGCAACGCTTGCGAAGTAGCGCTGGCCAGAGGTGCCACAGCACGGACGCCGTGCCCCGCCGAAGGGGAAGCGCCCCCGTCTCCGCCGGCAGGGGCCGCGCTCCCCGCCGCGGCCGGGCCGCCCCCCCTTG